TGTCCTTGGTAACAGATTGGACAATAGCATATTGTATTTTATTGACGATTTTAAATAATAGCGAGGGTCAGATGTCCCTAACCTACCCTCCTGCACGTAAATATCCTCTGGATTTTTTGGATAATTATAGCACACCTGGACCATGTGGTATGCCAAAAGGTAGGCCCTTTGTTGTTTGCAGATTAATTAAAGTTTTGCGGAAAGTATGATTTTATGAGTGCATTTTTTTTACTTTAGAGCTGTATCAGATTTTGCTAGGCTTTAAAAAATATTTTTAAATTAAATTATTTAAATGGCCATTCATACTTATGAAATTAATTTGTCTCAGTTATTTGTTGCAATTCTTTTATTTGAATACAGATACCACATTTCATTGTGCCCTGGCTACAGTTTTTATTCTTTCAGGATTTGGTCCAATAACAACTCTGATCACAGGTTCCTCTATTAATGTTACATGGTTTATGTCTTATCCACAAAGAGTAAGTCTGTAATCACAAAAATATAGTGCAGTTAATCCAGCATAATTCTCTTTGACATATTTGCGAAAGGTAATGATTTTTTTTTTTTTTTTTTTGATATCCAGTTCATTTTCAATTCAGAATGTTTTTAATTATAATCAAAATAAATATGACATGAATTAATTCACAATTTTTTTGTCAAACCATTGAGTTTTTCAAAAGCTGACTTTGATCATATTGTGCTTTAAACCCGTCATATAATATTATCTATGGTTTATGTTCACTAACACGGATTTTTGCTACATTTCTATATTTTAAAAACATTAGAATTCATGATAGCATACATATCCAAGGCTTCCAAATTTAATGAAACTAGGGTCCCATGCAAGCAGAATAGAATATCTGCTTTGGGAAGCCAATATTCCATTCCCATTTTTTAAAATCAAATTTGAAAGAAAAAGAACAATTGTAATCAAAACCTTTTTTTCCTTTAAATATGGAAGAAAAGAAGTCGGGAAAAAAGTATTGCGTTTTTGTAAAATTAACCGAAAATTTACTTTTATTTGAATTCATGGTAAAGATTGCATAAAAATGTTTATGACATGCTTTTATCTACAGTCTTTGTGAGTCGCCTTAGTACTTCTCTGTTATGGGAAGCTTTAATTAGGGCTCTCGATTCTCTATAATTGGGGTCGTTCAAAGGCCCCATTTCCAATTAAAAAAAGGTAGCTTTTCCCCAAATTGAATGTGTTAATTTTCCCGATTTTCACTTCCCCCCAAAAATTAAAGAACATTAAGAAAGACATATAATTACTAAACTTGTTATTCACATTTCTCTATAATGCAAAACAGAAATTTACTTGATAACAAACACTAGAAGCTCAATATGTATAATGTCTATTGATGATTTCCCCAAAATTCCCAAAAAGATCGCCAATTTTCCCAATTTTTACGGCCCTAGCCCCAGTTCCGTAGTGGTGTGAAAGCTCTGAACTTATGTCCAATGATGTTTTAAACTAATAATCTTTTTTTTACAGGGAGGGTTTCAATTGAGTCTACTAAATAATCAAGAAGAGACTATTTATAACTTTACATTACACGATTTCATTGGACAAAAAGACGGAATGTAAGCATAGCATTACATTTGAAAAAAAATAGATATTTTTTCCTACTCGATTTTAACATTAGTAAAACTTCAGATAATGAAAAAAGAATTTTTCAATCTTATACGTTATTCTCAGAAACTGAGTTGAAAGGGCTGAAGATTTTTATGTCTTTTTATGACATTTATTTCCATGTCATTTTTTAAAAATATAATCACTTTTGGTGACAACTTCGTTGAATACAAAATGACCACGACCTCATTATTTGTATTTGTCACAAGTCGTGGATACGCTGGGGTGACTTTACCAGACCAGGAGTGTTTTAACTGCTCTATAAGATTACTGAGGGAGTCGGAATATAGGACGTCAGCTTGTGGACGACGTTACTTCTGGACCTGTGCCGACATCCATATCGTCAAATGTGAGCAACCATTTCATAACCAACGTTAAGCTGTCTTCAAATTCCATGTTTTTCATCTTTTACGTCCATATCGTCAAATGTGAGCAACCATTCTTATAACCTTATATAACGTTAAACTATCTTCAAATTCCATATGTTTTACATCTTTTGTGTCTACATCAATTTTCAATCGTTCTCTATTTTTTCTGATAGAACTTGATGTTTTGATAGTTTATATATCTGTTACTATTGAAACATGTTATTTGAAATAGCTACCCAGGAAAAGAACATGCGCAATGGTTTCTCAAGAGAAAATGGACGATGCTTTTGTCAAAAGCCATGTCGTGGATGTAACCGTCAGCACATAGGTAACAAGAATAGATATGGGTTACCCCATATCCAAGATATTCGACTTTTAATTTATTCGAATTTTCATTGTGATCAGATGATTTCTAATAAAAAAACAAGTATTTACTGACAAAAGGTCAGAGATACTCAAGCTGTAGAAAGTCATAATAAAAGTGCCATGAATATCCTAAAACGACAAAATATTTAGGCGACTGAGTTTCAACATCTTTTGTTGAGTAAAATATGCATGTACTAGGAAACAAACTGCATGTTCATAAATAACGTTAGATGCATGTAGTGACTATCACAAAGTCGCACATGCATAAAAAAAGTACTTTCACATAGAACATAGACTAGATATAATTAATCGTATAATTTTAAAAATGTATTTAACACCTCGCTCATTTTCAGGAATATTTAATCCAAATAGCATATGTTACAGGCCTGTAGCAACGTTTTCAAAGTGAAGGGGGGGGGGGGGGGCTCCGAAAAAATCCCGCGTACTATGGGCCTGTGCTACATGTGTACCATCTAACTTTCCAATGATATTATAATCTTCTGTAAAAAAAACTATCACCCATAGTATAGGCAGATGTTAAAGATGGTCAACATGTCACCTTTTAGAATGAATGAACTTGTAATCAATGAACTCGTCCAGAGATGCATTGACGGCCGTTGTTAAACGCAAAGGAAAGCGCGAGATCGGCTATGGAGCATCACTGAATATTCCTTATAGTCATAGAATAGAATCCGACATTTAACACTTGATATAGATTTTGAATATACAGATGTTTTGAAGATAAACTTAGTATATTTTCGTGTTTTTAAACTGAGTAGATCGATGACCTAGTCTCGTTTTAGATAACTCAGCCCCTCTAGCCCAACCTAGGGCTTGAGTAAAAAACCTGCACTTCTTATGAAACTGGTGTATAGTTCTAAACTTCTTCATGTCCGTAGCAAATACTGATACCCAGTCTACGTGATCTAGGCGTCACTAGCAAACGGTGCACACACCTGTGCTTGCAAGACCAAAAGCCTAGGTCTACACACGTGCGAAGATCCTTTCAGACGAGCTCGGAACATTACGTTGCTTTGCCGAGAAGTTACGATTGCAGGTGTTTAAATAATAACCATTTCGTTATTCATTAAAAGAGAGAAAAAAAACACACAGTTAATGATTAATATATCCATTCAAAAGAAATTATAAGGCAATGAACGAACAATAATCATGACAGTAATATAACTGGTGAAAAGATATATCATTATCAATCGAAGTATGACCTATATATTTTCGGGAAAAAGACTGAGGAGGCAGCGAGCGTAGGAATATGAAAACTTTTAATTTGCTTTTCTGGGGAAAGGGTGATTTTCTTACAATCTTTTTACATTAATTTTGTTTTCTTTAACGTATTAAATATACATCATTATTCCTAACATTTGTTGTAATCTTGTATATACTGATCATGAATGGAACTATTTTCGTCGGAGCAATTGTGTGAAGAGTACCTGACTTTAGTAATATATCTTGAATAGATAATATGCACTGATCGAATATATTAAAAAGTGTCAATCTGTAGGAAGAGTTAGAAAAACTGGAATTTAACCTTGTATTTTTCTCTGATTATGTGACAATATCATTTTCGTCTTGAGTCAGATAACTGTGATACAGACATGGATTGTTCTGGACACGGTATTTGTGTGAGTACAGAGGATCCCTATGCGTACCACATCACACGCTGTTTCTGTAATATGGGGTATTTTGGTCCAAACTGTGAACGGGGTGAAGTATTCATATAAAAATTATTGTATGCAGAAATGTTCAGAGGACCTAAAAATATTATACACCAAGAACTATTTCGTTCAAAATCTATTATAAAGTTTCTTGTGGTGTTGATAACAGTGAAAAATGACTCGTCGAAGTTTGTGTTTTGCAAAATCATGACTTTTTGATTCAAAAATCAGTCTTCAATTTATTTTTCTTTATTCCTTCTTTTTTTCTAGAATCATCAATTAGAAAGATAAATCTTGATGTGAGTAAATATACACACACTGACCTCACTAGCAGATTCCAGCTTCTACACAGAATATTACATGTAAGTTCTAGCTGTCTTTGTAGAAAGCCTTTCTGGCATCTTACATGATATATGTTAAACATCTTTTACATGCTATGTCTTACAATACACCGTGCCCAAAGAGGAAAACAAACGATTTCATATGCAATTTAACTTACCTTTATATATCTTAAAATTTAAATAAAATAAATTACTTTACCATTAATTTTTCACTATTTCAAGCAATATTAAAGTATTTGTATTTTTTATGTCTATGCACTTACATGTTTCTTTGTCTATTTACAATACCAAAACTGTTTTTCCTTCCAGGAGGAACAAGAAATTGAAATGGTTTTAAAAGTAAAGACAAACTCATGGGTAGGGATAGGATGGCGACCAACAAGTAAGACCTTCTAGCATGTACAATAGACTTTTGTGACAAAACTTTGAGCATTTACGTTACATATCTTACCAGGGAGGAAGAGATGTTCAGTTCACAATTTTGAGGTCATAGAAGACAGCAGACAAATTTTCCCCAACAGTTGTTTACTTACAGATTTTAAAACGCGGTGTAAATATTTCCCTCTCCTTCCTGGTTTCACAAGAAAAATAGCGAGTTCTAATTCTACAAAATCAGCAGAACCGACGTCATCTACACCAGATTGTAGAAGAGGCGTTTACAATGGTAACAATGCTATAAGTGGAGGTAATTATATACGGAAATAGACTTTATACGCCTGTTGAACTGTATATCAGACAAGTAAGGAAAGATTTTCCTTTTTTCAGACCATCCTTCTCCAATGGATTGCACAGATTTAGTCATAGGTGCCGCTAGAGGCATGCGCAGTTGGATTGGTGACTATTATACACGTGATTTTTCTACTCCACTCCGGGATCAGTTATACGATGGCTCAGAAAGTCTAACAGCAGCAGTTGGGTTTGAAAAGGACGGCTATACATACATTCTATTTCGAAGAAAAATGAAAGGTATACTTGAACTCTCTTCAGAGATTTGTGTCAGAAGTGTGGCCATCTTTTTTAATGACTTTTATTTCTTATTTCAATATTCTTTTTCTAGCAAATGAGAGAACTGATTACGACATCAACGACTATTCTGTACACTTGATCTGGGCACAGGGACAAGATACAATAAAGCGTCCTCTAAAATGGAGAACTAGGAATGAAACTTTCATAAAAGCAACAGACTTTACCTTCTTCAAAGAGGATGAATTGAAATATCATGGAAATGAAAATCAAAGGGGCTATAGAAATTTTAATTTCTTTGACGGTATTACCTTAAGTATAGAAAATAAATGATTTTAAAGATTGAAAAGTGACCGTCGTTGTCGAAGTGATATGATAATCAATCCATCATATGTTTACAACAGTACTGATGAATCATAACTATTGCGCAAATGCTTTGAGTTTCCCAACGTTTCCACTTTTCACAATATTATATATCTCTTTTTCTTGTTTTACATTTTGTAGGTCAAAGAAATATTCCACCCTCCCTAAAGTGCTATAACAAATGGGGAAACTGTTCAAGAAGCAATGACGTAAATTGTTTCCTAGTCACATGGACTTATGACACCAGTCAGATTACGTTTACAATCAAAGCTTATTTAGCATTAAATCATTGGGTTAGCATTGGCTTCAATAGCATTAAATCAAAGGTAAGGTATGCTGAATTTATTCACAATTTATGCTGTCAATTTTCTTGTGATTTCACATATTTCATTCATCTTCCAAGGTTGGAGCTGATACTATTGTTGGATGGATGACAGAGAATGGGGAAACTTTTATTCAAGACAGGTACTATTAAGATCATGATTAAACACTTAAAGTTTTCTTCAGTAAGTGTGTTCAAAGATACTTGGATTTATTGTATACCTTATGAATGCTCATAGTTGTCCATTTTCTGATTATCTGGATGACTTTGCTTCCAGAAAAACACTCAGCAAGTCGGAGATGCCTATGGATAGTCAACAAGACATCACTTTAATATCAAGCTCCAGGGAAGATTCAGTCACTACCTTGACTTTAAGCAGACCTTTAGCTACAAACGATCCCAGTGATTTTTCTTTGTTACATAATTGCGCCTATTTTTTATTTGCCAGAGGTGTCTTCAATAGCACTACCAATATAAAGTACAATGACAAAACAGCCTTCCTATCGAACGAGAAAATATGTGTACCTTGTACTGAAGGTTTGTAGGAAATTTATTCATTTTGTCCCGTTTTTTATTAATTATATCCATCATATGGAAGATCGGAGCTTACTGTTTTAGTTTGTGTGTTATTCTATCTCTCTATCCTCAACTCTAACCTTGGTCAGAACTGTCAAACTATACAAAACGGATATTTTATGCCAAACTTAACCTCTCGATTTTGAAGCTAGACTTTAAAGCCTTTTCTTATATTAAGAAGTTTCAGTTCGATATCAAAATGTATTCAATCTAATTAAAATTAGATCCTTTACGCTCCAGCGACATAACAAAATACGGGAGCGTAAAGGATCTAATTTTAATTAGATTGAAATGTATTCCAGGTAAAATTTATTTCATGTATCAGGTTAAAGGAAACAAATATTTAGAGGATGGTCAATACAATACGTGTATATCATATCAGTAGTATAGAATATATGAAGTCTCGACGCGTCTAGAACAAAACCATTTTACAGATACAGGTTTTTATTCAAGTGCCAATTTGTTTAGAAATATGGGTTTTTATTTATGAAGTCCTTTCAAGTAATCTTTTGTTTTAAGTACGTAAACCATATAATATGTTGCGTATTAATTTTGTAATGTTTTAAAATTTCGACAACGTGCTTCTTATACTACATTTTTATTTTCCAGTCCAGTCACAGGAAAGTCAAGAGAAAGATAGGACATTATCCATTTCCTTTATAATCATAATTGTTACGTTTGCTACTTGTAGTCTCTTGTTCTTTAGTTTAAGAAGTATTTTATTCATGATATACATAAATGTATATACAATGAATATGGATTGAACAGCAGGCAAAAATGGCCTATATAAGTTCTCTCCATTAAAGATCAAGGTACAAATCATGAAATGTTACAATAATATATATCATAACTTTTACAAATACATGTACTTTAAACTAATTTTTAAGGAGGATACAATGTACAAAATTGAAAAAAGAGGGGAATTGAACAATAAGGTGGAATAATGAAAGGAAAGAGAGAGAGAGAGAGAAAAAAAAGAGGGTGGGGATAACGGAAAAGGGGAAGAGGCTCAGAGCCATATATGTATATGTACTTTCAGTGTACATGCTGCACATTAATGCTTATTACATTTTCACATTCTAAAATCTTTTAGTATTTTTTATAAAATTATGAACTTGATCAAATAATAACAAATTTTCTTTAAGAGATAGACAATCATAACCAGACAATACAATATTGACATCTCTTGGTATGTCATGATCAATCATATATGTAATCAAAGAGTTCCTGGCAAGATCATAACGTGGGCATTGAAAGAAAAAATGAACAGAATCTTCAAAAGAATAACCACATTTTAAGCATTTAGGTGAACCAACTAAGTTATGATTAAACAAATCTGCATTAAGATTACTTGACAAGTTTCTCAACTGACAGTGGAATATATTTAATTTCCTTTGTCCATAACTGTATAATTTTGATTTTATTTTATCATCAAGATTTTTATTTTGAATACTTTGTTTGAATTTAGCTACACTTGTTGCAGATTTCGTGCTATCTGGCAAATCATTCCATAACTTAATTGTAGATGGTAAAAAACTATTATAATATGCAACTGTTCTAGTGATTGGTATGTGATACAAATTACTATTGCGTAAAGCATAATTGTGTGAAACAGGTAGACACTGTTTAACCATATCATGCAAATATTCAGGTGTATAATTATTAAGTATTTTGTACATAAGTGTAAGCTTGTGTTTAGTTCTTCTTTCACTCAGTGTTTCCCATCCTAATTCTTTATATAAATTTTGTTTCGAAGAATTGCACCTTAGTCCAGTAATGATACGCCCAGCCTCTACTTGTACACTTTCTAATAGATTGCTCTGCTCCTGTGTACAATTATCCCACACTACATTACCATATTCTAAAATAGGTCTAATGAATGCAATATAAATTTTAATAAGGGAATCCCTGTTTAGTTTATATTTGAGTGTGCGAAGAACATTTAAACGTTGGCATGCTTTGTCATATATTTTGGAGATATGTTCGGACCAACCGCCATTGGATTGCATTATAAGTCCAAGGTGACAATGACTTTGTTTCTGTTCTATGTAGTTATGTGTGTGACCAAATGAAATTTGTGGATGTGATTTATTTGACCGTGTAAAATTAACATTTACAGTTTTATTAGGGTTAAAATCCACCATCCATTGTCTGGACCATTGTTTAATTTTTTCCAAGTCATCTATTAAAGAGAAGGTAGGGGCTAATGTATCAGAGTCTACAATAACAAACAAAGAAGTATCATCTGCAAATAACCTAATTTGATTTTCTAAATTTACAGTTATGTCATTAATATATACTAAGAAGAGAAATGGTCCTAATACAGAGCCTTGTGGAACACCTGCATTTATACTTTCTCTAACTGAGGAGTACCCTTCTAATAAAACTTTTTGTTCACGATCAGTAAGATAATTTTCAATCCAGTCCAATAAATTTCCTGCAATACCATTTTGCTTAAGCTTATATAATAATCCCTTATGCCAGACCCTGTCAAATGCCTTTGATATATCACAGAATACAAATCTTACATCTTTACCCTGGTCTAAACTGCTTATAATAGTATTGTATATCTCTAGAAGTTGATTTACAGTGGAGTCTCCAGGTTGGAATCCAGACTGATTTTTAGATAGAAGATTATGCTCTAGCATATAGTTGTAAAGATATTTAAATATAATTTTTTCCATAATCTTGCAAAGAATGCTTGTTAAAGCAATTGGCCTGTAGTTTCCTGGCTCTTCAGGACTCCCTTTATTTTTATAGACTGGTGTAATATTTGAGAGTTTCCATATATGAGGAAGCTGTTTATTGGTTAATGATGCATTAAACAATTTTGCTAAGGGTGCAGTAATTGAAGGAATTATTTTTTTTAGTATATGTGGAGAAATTTCATCAGGTCCTGGGGGTTTAGATGGGTTGATATTTTTTAATTGATCCTCCACATCTTGGGGTGTGATATGAATTGTGTTTATTGAATATGGTGGACCTGGCCCTTGTGGAGGTAATTGGGGTTCTGTGCTAACATCAATATGTGATATTTCTGCAAAGTGTTTATTGAGTATATTAGCTTTATCAATAGGGTGTATAAAAATTCTACCACTGGATTTTATTGGTGGGGGTTTAATATGTTTTTTAGAGAATTTAGTAATAGACTTAACAATTCGCCACCATTTCCCAGGTGGAATTGTTCTATCTAATATTTGTGAAGTAATTTTTTCTTTATAGACCTGTTTTGATTTACGTACCATACTTATTACTTCATTTCTTAAATGACGGTATTTACTCCACTGGTATTCGTTATTATTTTGTTTTGCCTTGTAATGTACTCTATTTCTTTGTCGCATCTTACATCTGATAGCACTTGTCATAAATGGTTTATCTGAAGGTCGAATGGTCACTACTTTTTTGGGTATATTTTTGTCAACATAATAGTTATATACTTTCATAAAGTTGTCATATATGTCATTAATATTGTGAGTATTAAATACCTCCCTGTCCCAATCAACATTTGACAAATCTGTGCATAGTTGTGTATAGTTAGCATTTGCATAATTTCTTATGTATCTTTTATATGAATGTTGCTTGAAAGTTTTAAAATGCAGATCAACACCAACTGGACTATGTGTGCTACAAAAAGGTGTTAAGACATTTACAGTTTCTATTCTTTCAACAGCATTGGTGATAATAAGATCAATACATGTACCTTTTGATGTTGAGAAATTTGTTGGTTTTGTAATGACATTTGACAGAGAAAATTTTTTTAACATGTGTTTAAATGCATTGTTACCATCAGCTAACATATCAAAGTTAAAATCTCCTAATAAGAATATTGGTATTTCAATATTCAAAGCACTTTCTATGGATAGTGCAAGCTGATTCACAAAATCTGCTTTTGCACTTGGTGGTCTATATATAACACCAACTAAAAATTTATGATTGCCATTTTCAATCTCAACCCATATAATTTCAATATTGGAGGTAAATATATCATCACGTTTCTTAAAACTAAGGTTATTTTTTACATAAAGCATGACACCACCACCGTGCCTGTTACGGTCAAGTCTAACAGGTGCCTGAAATCCATCAAGTTCAATATCGTTATCAGTAATAGAATGATCTAAATGGCTTTCAGTAATGGCAACAATATCATAATCACATAACTCATTATATATAATGTCAATTTTAGGGAGAAGGCTACAAACATTGTTATGTATAATTCTTATATTGGAGTTCAATTTAGGACCTGGATTGGTTTCAATGCCTCCTATAATAAGTAAATAATATATTACAAAATTATAATATAGGGACATACCTTTAAAAATGCCATCCCTTACACATAGTTTTCCGCATGGTTGTGGGAAATAATATAGGTAAATCTCAGTCATTTGTGTCAAAAATGAAATAGGTATGGTCAAGAAATGCCACAACCATTATAAAATTAACAACTTTCACTTTGCGTGCAATAGAACAAATGTAAATCTTTTGTTTTAAGTACGTAAACCATATAATATGTTGCGTATTAATTTTGTAATGTTTTAAAATTTCGACAACGTGCTTCTTATACTACATTTTTATTTTCCAGTCCAGTCACAGGAAAGTCAAGAGAAAGATAGGACATTATCCATTTCCTTTATAATCATAATTGTTACGTTTGCTACTTGTAGTCTCTTGTTCTTTGTTCTGGGAATCCAAGTTTGTGTCAAAGTGATTAGAAAGAGGTTAACATAAGGGATCTATTTTGAAAATATATTATTGAAAATAAAATTGTGTAGAAATAGAATACTTTACTGGGAGTACATTTACTTTTTGCCTGGAATTCAAAATATTATCCTTTGACATCACAACACTTATATTATGTACATACATATACGTAATCCGAGATTCCTCTGACTCCAACCCCTGCTTTTATATTTTGACATGTCAAAATATAAAAGCAGGGGTTAGAGTCAGAGGAATCTCGGATTAACATATACATTGTATATGATTGTAAGTAAAAATTATAAAATTGTACACATATTTGAAGAAAAGAAATTTATGAGCTTTTATTTGTTTTATATCTGAATCTGTCTTTTTTCATTTATCACACAGTGTGAAATGTTTGTTATATAAAATGGGTCTTATAATTCAAGATCTAGACGTCAAAAAAACGAAAGAAAATAAAAAAAAAAAGAAACGAGATGAAGAAAAGGGTAGGGGGTTAAAGAGAAGCAGCAGGTCATTATAAAATAAGTAACTTCTCAAGACAACACAGTGTGCTTATATGGTAACTTTTAACCATGTTAAAGCCACTAGCTGACACAAGAAAAAATCTTTTTAAACAATAGTTTTTCATTTACTGATCATCATGAGGAACTAAAATATGAAAAAGACGTTCATGTCATGTAACCATCAATACATAAGGGCCTCTCGTTTCAAGGTGAATGTTTATTCGTTTATTCTAAATTTGTGTTAACCATGCACTACAATTAGAAGCACATATATTGTGGGTGGGGACATAGCAACAACACAGTTGTTTATATCGTTTAATCTATATATATTTGTAATAATAAGAAAGAAGACCAGCTTCAGGTTAATTAAAAAAAAGTAAATAATAATGATGCAACATAAATCTGTACATATCCGAGTATACAAGAAATGACTATATACATGTAGTTTTCATTTGTTACTTGTTCGTTAAATTGCTAATATAGCTGTGTTTGGAGAAATTATGTTTCCTCTACATTACAGCTTAGGAATTTTATATGAATTCTTAAAAAAACAAATGTCTAAAATTATCAATAAAGATAAAATGAATAGTTACATAAGGTCAACAATACAATAACATGAAAAGTGTAAGACTAGTGTTAAACATGAATACTAGTATTTTAGAGTAAAGATATAATCTATTCCAAATAAGTTTTAAAAAATCCTTGCCAGTTTACAAATAAATAAAATTAAAACAAATATGTTCAACTTCATACTTGGAAAAAATGAAAGTGCACAGTTCAAAGAATTTATACACATTCAAAATTTCTTTAAAAATTTTTTCTTGGAATTTAATGTGCATGATAGCAAAAACCCAGATTGTCTAACGTAAATTGCATTATGAAATTTGAGAACTTCCATCACAGTAGGATTTTACATTTTTTATCTGCTTTTTTCTGTCAGTATCTGTCAAAGTCAGCCATAAGAATTTTAAATAAGCAGTAGGTCTACACAGAATGTTTTAGAACTCCCTTCTTCTTCCTTTCTCAAGTCCCCCACCACATCTTCCTCTCTGTAATGTGTTAAATCAATGACTTGCAGTACTTTCAGTTCTTGTATATAAACATGTATATTTCAGAGTGAGTTTCTCTCCATGATGGAGCGTCACGTTGATTGACTTAGTTTCATGAAAGTTGTTTCCCTTAGACTTAATAATCACTTTTTGCAATGCTTACAGGAAATGAGATAATTTTTATGTATCTCTTCAAACTGATGACTTTCAGATCGATCAAGTTCAAGTTTTAGATACACAGGTCAAATCATCTTTAAAAGTTTTAGTAAATCCTTGTTCACCCCCCCCCCCTCTTTTTTTGGATTGTGCTTTTAAGAAATTACCATTTGCACAGGTCTAAGTACATATGTTGTAACATTGACAACTGATTCAAGAATTTTAAAACTTTTAAAGATACACCAAAATCTTCATTTGGAATTAGCAATAAACATATTTTTTATTTTCATGAAATCTAACCTCAAAATTGCATCTTTATGTTTAAAGAGAATTGGATATACATGTCATTGAAATTCTGTACCAACATGTGGGTACATATATGTCATATTATGCAAAAAATAAAAAAATGAATATCTTCATATTTCTTCTGATTTGTTGTATTAATTTAATTCAAGATCATGTTTTCTACTCAAAGAAACAGTCATTTACCTGAGCTCTTGCTTTTCATAACAAACATGGATGTCACAAGCAGATTTAAGGATTTTAGCAGCCACGTATTTCCTTACTTCCTTTACGGAATCTTCATCTGAGAGGAGTAATCTACAAAGGGAGATATATTCAGAATGGAAGGGAAATAATTTAGTCAAATTTTCAATGCAATTTATTGAGGACGATGCCTTAATGTGCTTATTTAATATTTTCTTAACTACCAAACAAGTTCTTCTCTACCTATATAATTTTTTTAATTCATTCATCTGTCCGACATTTTTAAACAACACTTATAAAACTAAAGTTCTTCTATCATTTATCAATGAAGTAAATAAAACTTACTGGATATGTTGTCTGTTTGCTGTAGAGGACAAATTTTGCTGAAGTCTGTCCTCCTCTAATGTGTCCTCAGCACCTTCCCTTGCTGATTCAACAATAAAATTTAATTTCATTTTTTTGTTATAAAATTGATTTATCTTAATCACAAACAATAACTGAACTACCGGTACACAATCAAAAATATAACAAGTTTTTAAATGCCTCTAAAGTTAACATTTGTTATTGTTGTTTTGAAAAATATTTTACACTTGTGATCAATCATTTTTCTAGGACTCTTGATTAACACTTATTTTTTTAATCCAGCTCAGAATTTTTCAAAAGGAATACACCATGGTGCAATTAACTTAAAGTAATACTTACCTTCCTTATTAAAGGACAAATCATAATACACCTCATTTGGTTTTCTGATTTGTGGCCAGGCATAGTCTTTGCCCTCTTCCTTAGACATGCTTGGCATAACTCTTTTGCCATCTGTGTTCTTATTCCACCCAATACTGTACACATAAAACACTTTTTTGTCCTTTGCTCGAGCAGGGCCTTGGGTGACCATACGGAACTTATGCTGATCCTCTAATGTGGCATTAGATTCTTTTAAAAAAACAATAATTACTAATATTTCCTAAATCTTACAATATGTGATTAACAGATATGTGAAAATTAACTACCCTGGTAATCCATTAAAGAATATGCAGTACAACATTTCATCAATAGGAGAGTTGCCAAGGAAACCAAATGTTCAACCTGGTGACAGATTGGCTGCTCAACAGACTGAAGAGACTGGCATTTTGAACAACTATATAAGTGTTTTTGCTTGTGTGTTTGCTTTAAGCCCCTTTGAAAATATTTCTCTCATGTTGGGATACCACCAATTGCCAGCAGAAAGCTACAAATTTAGACCTGTACTTGGCATTTATGGTCATTGATCAGTCATCTTTTTAGTGCCAGCATCTACTGTGAAATGAAACTCAACTGAAAAACCAGTCTCCACATACTGCAGTGGGATTTTATCTCAAGACATAAGAATAACTCCTTACTTAAAGACTCCAGAACAAAGCAATACATGTATCTAGCCACTGTGCCACACCACATGTGCAACAATTATCTTGAGTAAAAAATGGACAATATACATGTATCAAATGACATCAAAAATAGTGACCTGTTGGGAAGGATGAAATGGGAAATGGTCTTACCTGGTGTTGTACAAACATGTTTTTTTTGGTATCGATATATCTTGCTATATTCATCTAAACATTAGTCATTCTATAAAATATATGTTTTTCTTTAATTTTTTAAGGAATAATTTTGTACACAAATGGAAAATTGACTGTGTCTAGCTGTATTTTTCAACTGGAAGCCTCCTCTGTCTATAACCAAAGTTAAAATGAAAAAAAATAATAATGAAATTAATAAAACTAATGAATAAGTCACGTTTTAAAAATTAATTACATTTACAGCCAAATAAAGATGCTTTTTACCAAACATGCTACCTAATTCTCTAACATCTTTATTCATTACACTTACTTTCACTAAAGTCGTTGAGTCTTGCGTGATAAAAATAATTCTGTTTGCCTACTTTATCTTCTCCCTTGAATGGGCGCTCCACTCTTCTTGTTTTATCAGCAGGTTCTCCTTCATATCGGCCATACCTGTATCTTACAGATCCATGTTCTACATCTATCAGAACTGGGGTATCCAATTTGTATTGCTAGTAGATAATGGAAGGTTTGAAATATTGTAATTTCTAATTTATAGAAAAGAAACTCTCATTCCAAATTTAGCTCAATCGTTCATACAGTCATAAGGTTGCCGAGTGTTCTCTTTTAATATCTATCATATTGAATACCTTGTGGTCGCGTTTAGACAAGCTCTCGGTGTGAACTAGACGAGGGTTGGCAGTGACACCTTCAGGAACAGAAGAACTTGCTCCAGTGCCCATGATTTAGGATAAAAAATGTTCACAGCATTTTGTTTTGAAATTCCTAGAGTTTCTTCAAGCGTCTTTGACAACAAAAATAGACACAGTCCGAGCCCGATTTATTTTTAAGTTTCTTGCACCCGATCGATATTTGTGTCCTATGAATGTTTACGAGTAGTAGATGAATTGATTAGCACGTTAATAATCGATTTTTTTTTTTTAAATTCTGATGGGCTAATGTGATCGATTTTTAAAAAAAAGATTCTGATGGGCTAATGTGATTTTATGAACAATTTTCTGCTTATACGTAATATGTTTGACCCCCCCCCCCACACACACACACACAGAAAAAGAAAGAATCTTGTATCTGGTTGCGTTTATTGTGCGAGGGCGGATTCAGTTATTTTTCGTAGGGAGGCCACAGGGAGGGTGATTTTTAAACTACTGAATAGAAACTTCAAAACGGACATCATGCTTTTTAAACGCACAATTTTTTTTCAGACACGAAAACCCTCCGAGACTCTTCATGTCTCTTCCTACCAACTTATAAGGGGTCTATTTTCCTAGTGGTCGGTCCAAACACTCGTTTGGGTTACTTAACTATATAAATTGAAAAGTCTAGTTATGAAAAACTTGGGAGTGGGGGGTCCTGACCCCCACCCCATCCCAACTGTTTGATTCGCATTTATATACATGTCGTAAATTACATGTACATTGTGGTACATTAAAGTTGCATTCCTTTTCACCGAGGAAGGACACTGTATACTAATCGTACATCCAATATTGGAATTAGTGAGTTCATAGCGGTACTTTGGTGTATATATATTGTCAAGAAAAAAATGATTGACTTTGGTCCTAGTTGTAAAGCTACGGGAAACGCAGGATAGGACGAGCATTAGCCTAAATAACCTCATCTGTAACAAGAGCGGATCGAGAGGGGTCCGGGCGGATCTTGGACCCCCTAGGAAACACAGGCCCCTCTTAAAATGGTAAGGAGAATCATGTATCTAAAGGAAATTGATACTTGGGCAAGTTCTTCAATAGTCTCTAATACGATCTTTTTTGTTCATAATAACGAGATATTTTTTTTATTATTATAAGGAGATCATTCCTTGGCATTATGGGATTATATTTACATTCAACATGTATTTTGCTTATAAAGTGTGAGGAAAACTACGGCATTCAAAACACCATAACACGGACAGGGGGTCAAAAGGTTAAAGTACTATGCTTTTTATTTTGACGTCACAAACGTTGAACGCCCTGGAAGTGCAACGTCATAAACGAAAATCAAAATTCGCTCTCACATTGAACAGAAGCTGTTGCAACGGCTCTTCCATTAATTATAACTTACCCGAAGGATAATACAGGGATTTTGAAATATAAATCACATTTGCAGTCAAGACAAGGAGTTAAAAAATGTAAATATAAGCATTAAATCATTATTTTTTGAAAGATATGGTCTCATAACTGCAACGGTGTGTGCAAACAAATTTTCATAACGCGCTAACGCGCGTTACTCAATTTGTATGCACACACCGTTGCAGTTATGAGACCATATCTTTCAAAAAATAATGATTCAACGCTTAATTATCTTGTTATTGTGAGAACCTTTCTCGCAGGCACGTATAGTATCGGGGAATGGGTTGCTCCTTTTTTCCGAAATTCTTTTACCGTTAATTTAACATGAAAAAGAACAATTTTAAAATTACCTCTCCCCCACGTTGTTTTTTTTTTGGGAGGGGGGTTTATCAAAGTTGTCTACTTTCTGTCTCCATCCTTTCAAAACAATACTGCGTGCCAGTCTTGTACTTCTAAAGTTCTTTTCATTGTTATTAGAAGAAACTTTCGGGTATATTGCTTTATCTCAGAGTCCTCGCCTATCGCAAACCACACAGCCAAAATGTACCATCCTCTCCCATTCTGGGTAGGAGAGAGCTATATGCGGACCCAAGACCGTGGCTTGAGACGATGCGGCTATCGTAGATTTATATTGATTAAATGTTTAGTTTGAAAGATTATCAGGAAAAGAAACGAAGTTGATTTGATGGGAATTTTTATAAAATACCTAAAATAATTAAATTGAATCTGTTCATATTGCTTAGATTTCTTTTATTTATATATACTTAAAAAACATGCACACATTTGCTTGAAAATGGATTTTTTTTTAGAGAGAGAGAGTCATATAATATAGGTTATTAACCTGCTGTTCATCATCTTCTCATTTTCTGAATAAAACATTAAATAAATTCATGAAATTGATTTTCTCCTTCTCTTTACAATTGTTTACATTTGTTCTAAAATATGAACCATAGGATTACATTTAAAAGGAAAATTGCTATCTAAGTCACGGTATGACATAATAATTTAAATACGTATAGAGTCTCTTTTTTACGCCGTGTCCTAAAATGTGCACCTTTTATTATCAAGTCACGTTACTGTTTTAAAAATAAACCCTTGTAAATTTTTGCAGGTGAACGATCAGCAAGTCGTAGCGTTAACCTATCATTTAACACATTAAATTGGATTTTAAAAGTGCTACATAAAATTTCAACACTTTAAAGAAAAATTCTCAAAGACAAACTGCAAAATTTCTAAATTAATTTATTCTATTAAGTAATGCAAAAAAAAAAAATTTAATACAATATACAAGTATAAATAATTTTATCTTGTTTATCTTTTTTTTCCTTTTCCTTTTTTTTTCTTTTTTGGAAATATATAAAGTATGCTAAAGTGACATGTAGGTCCAATGGGTCGGGTGAAATGTATATCAAATTCCATTGAAATTACATCGTATTTTCTATATAATCATGTCACTATAATAAAATATTTATTTAATTACTTACTTTAACTTTTTGTTTTAAGTATTAACAATTAATTTATTTCAATTATTTAAAGTAATTGAAATACACGTATAATAAATCACATATCTAATCTTAATTACATGTCCCCATTTTCTTTGTCTTCAGAAGATTAGTACTAATGCTGGAGAAAGCGGGGGGGGGGGGGGGGGTCCTGTATCAACAGACGCATATACATTAAGAATATGCGTTAATTTTTGATAAAGCAGCCCTTGATGTAAGATCAAAATATAAATTAAAGCATTTTAAATAGGAATACTAGATTTTTTTTATTTTGAAGACTTAGCGATAACAAGGCTTTGTGCGTGATATGAAGTACATCTAATCAATAACTCAGAATTGACATTAAAAAAATTATCATTGTAATTTCATGTAAAATATAACAAAGTGGGAATTTAAATGATTTATAACATTGTGCAATATTTTTTGCCCTTAGAGAAGTTACATTTAAATATATGATCACGATTTTCTCTTCGATACATACCAGGACATGTGTATATGATCAGCAAAATATAAATTCTCATGTTTTTAGTACATGTGTACCGGACTTGAATTAAAGTTCGAGTCATACGTCAGTGATTTCGTGATACGCTTGACTTATTTCTTCACAAAAAACATTTAATTCCATTCAATAGATCCTAAGAATGCGGACAAACAAATCCAAGCCGTAAGAGCGTAGAGGGTTTAAATTCCCCGCTGCGACTTTAATCCACACAACACTTGTCCTGTTCAACCGAAGGAAAAAAAAAAACTAGAAGATACGATGTACGTTTGGACAAGCTGGACTTCGTTTTTCCTTGCGTGCAACTTTGTGCATGACACCTATGCTCATGTTGCGCTGAGTTTTCCACCCGCTAGGAAATATGCACTAGATTTCTTGGATAATCTGAGAACAACAGGCCCTTGCGGAATTCCGAAAGGTGTGTCTTTCTTAATCTTTCCTAAAAAATAATTGCTTCGATTATCTGCATTTCATACTTTGAGATCTTTGGTAGTACATAATTCATTTTTAAGTTGCATTTTCACAACACTACATGTACATGGCCAGGCAGTCGTTAGAATTACAATCAATCAATACTGTACATGCCTGCATGCCGCCAGTGTGAATTAGAGCATTTATCTGTCTTAAATTATGGTTTACAAATGTGAGGATACGAATTTTCCTCTGTTGAAAACCTTAAAATGTCCTAATGCAATTTTCTTTAGGATTTGAATATACAACAGTTACCGAAAAATAATGACTGCATGCTAAATCGGATCGAAAATACCAATACCTTCAATGATCAATTCAATAAATTTTTATGCTATTTTTATTTTGATTTTAAATATCCATTACAAGAGAATTCTTTGCTATTGTATTTCACTTAAAGATGAATGGATTTCAAGTTTCATTCGAAGTTCTTATGACCTCAATGAACATTACATGCTGAAATTAAAGGGATATTTAAACAAAACAATTGACATTATTAGTCTACAGTTTACCATAATGCATATACATATACGTGTTTCTAAAGCAATTGACACAATTTTCTATTGCATCTTATTGATTGATAATACTTTCAAAAGAAAGAAAAACTACCACAGGCTAAAATAGGGACAAAAGCATGTTAACAAAACCCGTCCTATTAGCTGTAAAGCTGTATTAACAATTGGTTACATGACAACCTTTCAATAAACCCATTATTTCTTCTTTGACATCATAAATGCCAATCAATCATAAAAGGAAAAATCCACTTGGGGAAATAGTAAATTGTTACCTCTCTTTCTCTCTCTCTCTCTCGAGATCGAGAGAGAGAGAGCGTGCAAATTAATTTTATTTCTTTACTTTTATGCAGGATTTGGTCCTACTACATCACTTATCACTGGGTCTAAGATCAACATTACCTGGGACACTGCTTATCCTCACAGAGTAAGTCTCTATCATGAAAAGAAGATGGAGAAAAGAATTAAACGTGCCCCCCCCCCTTTGAAACATGTATATGTACCTTCATACAAAGCGAACTTTGTACTATACCATATCATAAAACAGCTAGGCTTTAGTAAGTTCTTTCATTGTTGTATTGTGAAATTATCATTAAGCGAGGTAAAATTTATTAAATCATTATCCGATTGTAAACGTTATTTAATTAAAACTGGAACTAACATTCATGCATTATATTGCAATAGACAACAATTGATTACCATTTCTCGGATAAAGATTAAAGTGGTCTGGTCCGAAATATGGTACATGTATAATCTTTGTTCAAAATTGATTTCTCAAAATTGGATCTCATGTAATACACGAGTAGGTGAAACTTGTTAACTACGTATACGATCACGATGTTCTATCTCATGAAACTGATTTCTAATCCTATTTATACCTGGAAGTATTTGTCTTAGTTGAAGTAAAGGCGTTGTCTTCTCGCTCACTCATCGCTTTGTCTTTCGTATACTAGTATATGGCTAGATGTAACGACCTTAACAAGCTACATTTTATAATCAACTTTGTTTTTGTTTTGCCATTAGAATAAAGATTTTTATTTTGCCATTACCAGAATCAGTATAGTCTTGCTAAAAAAAAAAAATCAAAATGTACTGATATGCTTGGTATTTTTCTAGTGTACTTTTATGCCTGGTATTTTTCTCAGTTGAAATATACGAACCATATCATCATGTTAGAAAAAATACAATTATATGAAATTTAAAAATCTGATAAAATTGTTACTTCATCTACTAAATTAAATTCAGTGTTTTACTGAAGTTATCTTCTCCGCGTCCTTTCATTTTCTCTGTCTTTTTTTTCCTGAAACACTTTTAAAAATGATTCCTATAGAGTATTAAGACCTATGTATGGTCTTTAGAAAAGGCATATAAAAGCATTAAAATTACCCTCATTTAAATTCCACTAACTGATATTATACCCTGAGCACTAGACATCTCTAACTACTCTCTTAACAATAACCGTAATCTATATCGAAAATTTATTGTAAAATTCAAATTACGGACCCTCTGTACACTAAAACAAAATGTTTTTTGAGCATTGAGAATATCATCTGGCATTTACCCCCAGGAAAAATGTTCAAAGACAACTAATTACTGATGAACAGAAATCACTGTTGTTTCCACAAGTGGTGGGGAAAATGCATGCTACTGAAGTGTTCAATTAATATCTGTTGGGCTGTTAAAATATTAAGAATTTTTTGAGTTGATTACAAATTGGGTAATATGTTTTAGATTTCAATTTATTTTACTTTTTTCTAAGGACAGATTACTCTAACTGCATACAATACTACAAAAACAGAACTCTTTAGTGTGCAGTGGAGAGAGGGTTCTTAATGTCGCTTCCCGATTAATATCTGTGACATCTGTTGCTCTAGAATATTTTTTTTTTCAATTCATTCCAATTTTTATTATTTATAAAATCAGTCTTAGACATACCGTCACTCCATTGAGATAAAACTGTAGTTAGATAGATAGAAATGAATTAAAAAAAATTTCAAGCTGTGGCCACACTGTATTTTTATTTACTTTTTTTTTAGAATTTGATCCCTTTTTTCTCGTTAGGTCCGAGGTTTAACGTTCATTGCTATTCTGATAAGAGAGATAACTCTAAATACGATAAATGTCTATTATTTCTTTATAAAGTTGTCAAGTTGAAATGTCTTTTTAACCAATTTTGCTAAAATTATTTGCATTTTACTTATAACATGTAAAAAATACCTTTCTGAAAATCATAACGCAACATATGTTAAAGCAACATTTTATATGAGTGAACACAAGGGTTATGAACCTTAAAAATTAAAATTTACAGGAAAATGCAAATTTTGAATGAATCATAAAGAATACATTTTTCTAGTATGATTTTAAACTATTATAATGAAGATGTATGTTTACTATTATATAGGGAGGTTATCAACTGAATCTGTTGAGCGACGCCGAGGAACCGATCTATAATCTGACTGTCGGAGACGATTTTATCGGATCTTCTGACCCTACGTACGTAACGAACACTTCGTCGTTTAAATTGATCTTTGTTTTTAGTATTTAATTTAAGAACAACCTTTCGAAACTAAATATACTTGGAAGGATTATTGTTTTATATCTACATATATATATATATATATATATATATATATATATATATATATATATATATATATATATATATATATATATATATATATATACACTTCATTTAGATACAAGTACATTTAGAGGTTTAGTTATTTGATTTATTTTTTCACTATTTGACGCACCATAGGCACTTTGCTCGCCTTGTTAGCCCATCTTCTTTGCCTCTTTTTTTTTCAATTTAAACATGTTTAATATCCAGATTAAAGGGGTATAGGGACCCTTCACCAAAAAGGGTCAATTAAGCCCTGGCTCTTAAAATCAGTTCACTCTAATTTTTAAAAAACGTTTTAGGCGGCGGTACCATGAAGTGACGTTACCATTGGATGAGTGTAGAAACTGTTCAATACAGCTGCTCAGACAGGCGGGAGAATGGAGTGCGGGAAATTGTGGCCAGTATATATTCTGGTCCTGCGCAGACGTCAATATCGTTCAGAGTAATACACCTGTCAGACTTTTTTTTCACCCATAACTACTTGAAACAAACAACAACAAAAAAGCCAAACCAAAACAAATCAGAAAAGCAAAAAACAAAACACACACACACAGAACCCCAAACAAACAAACAGAACAAAACAAAAATCGAAAACAAATCCCAATTTAGGATCCAAATTGCATTTTCTTTAAGTCAGTGGTTAAACGTTTTATCCTGGCGTTCATAGAATCTAGAATTTCAAAGACCATTTACTTTGATTTTTTTTCTATTTTTAATTAATACAGCTGCCCCAGGAAGTGACCTGTGTAATGGTTTTCCACTGGAAAATGAAGAATGTGTATGTAAAAAACCCTACCGAGGACCAAAGTGCCAGTACAAAGGTAGAAACCTCTCTGTGAATAAAATTAATTGTTCTCAACGTGCAGGATAAAATAAATAACTTGTTCGCATAAAAATTTGTTATATTTTTTTACTATGAAATGTGTTTTTGTCTTAATCCCCTTAGAGATTATATAATCATCAAAATCTCTTTAAATATGTATGCTTTAAAGCATCAAGCCTTAATTGCGCTTTTTATTTTTAAAGTAAATTTTAAGAATGAAATATATTAGTTGTCCGAAAGTCATAATTTTATATCCGGGGAAAGGGGGTGGGGTGAAGCCGAAACCTTCAGTGCCAATACTTGCTAAATCAAAGATCAAAACTGTGTTTTTTATAGAAGGATACATTCCAAAACTTTATCTTTAAGGCATATTTGGCATGCAACATGAAGAGATGTTTTCTATATACAGCCAAGAGGACTAATATCATAGAACTCGCTTTATCTCTCTCTCTCTCTCTCTCTGTAGATGATTGTGAAACGGACGCAGATTGCTCTGGACACGGAGAGTGCTCGACTTCTGAGGACTTTTATCAGAAAAAGTACTGCTTCTGTGACATTGGGTACTTTGGCAAAAATTGTGAAAGAGGTAATAAAAACCCGAAAAACTAATCGAACATTACACGATAAAAAAAGAATACTTTGGAAACTATAATATATCATTGCACAATGTTTGCAATTAATATTCTTCTTACATTTCGTACTTGTATTTTGAAATTTGCATTCAATGAATCATTCTGAAAATTAAAACAGTTTTGAAATAATTCTAAGGCTCTGAATATACGGAAAAAATCAAGTATAACATTGAAACAAAAAAAACCTTTAGCCTAAAAGCCGTTCTTTTTCTATTTTCAGAATCTTCAATCAAATCTTTCAATCTGGACATGAGTAAATACACATATACTGATCTTTCCTCTAGGTTCCAACTCCTACACAGAATTCTACATGTAAGCAAAGAAAAAAACCCAACAATATAATTATGCCTTTAAAACGCATACTAATACTTATCAGTAAATAAAAAATAAATCATTAATACCTCCTAATTTATTTTCCTTACGTTTTAAGCAAGAGGAAGAAATAGAAGTTGTCTTGAAGGTGAAAACTGACACGTGGGTAGGAATCGGATGGAAACCAACAAGTAAGTTATAATTCACAGAGTTTACAGCAACGGATGCCGTTTTCATTCCCTTTCTCTGTTGATTATTAGTATTAATTTTTAACCTTGATTTAACTTTTATGGAAAACATGGAGAATCTAGGGGAAAGACATGACACTGAGTTGGATAAATCATAGATTTCAGATCAGGGTGTCAACACTTCCCGTATCTTCCTGGCTACACTCCTGGAGCGACAGATTCTAACAGTACAGCGGAGCCGGAAGTAACGTCAGAACCGGAAGTGACATCAGAACCAGAACCAAAAACTAAGCCTGAACCAGAAGTAACACCAGAACCAACTTCCTGTCAAGGAAGTCATAAATCATGTGACCAAGCCAGCTGCCCATATGAACTCACATGGATCCAGAATCCTGCTACAGATGATATCACGTTTACAATGACTGCAGATGTTCGTGACACTGAATGGCTTGCTGTCGGGTTTTCAGGTGATCAGAAAATGGTAAATCCACTATTTCTAACAAGACGTGTCTTCCTTTTAAAAAAAAAATAACACATGGACAAGTCCAAAGAGTGTTATAAATCATCTTATTTATTGGTATTTTGCCGTGTCAACTTCATTTTTTTTAATTATAGGAGAACACAGATGTGTATCTAGGCTGGGTGGATTCATCAAGTAAAGTGGTCCTTACAGACAGGTTATCAAATCCTAAAATTCAGCAATTAGTGATTCAACTTTATGACTTTATTGGAAATATGTACCACTTAACACTTTGTCATTGAAATTTTACGCTATATTCATCATAGGTTTGCAAGGGGCTCGTATTATACAGAGCCAGACATAGATGCAACCCAGAATGTGTACAATGTTTCCGGGAGTCGGGTGAGCGAGAAGACCTCGATCACGTTTACTCGGAAATTGGTCACTGGAGACAGTGCAGACTACTCCCTATCTGATGGGAACTGCTGGCACTACATTATGGCGTGGGGAGGATCCTATAACTCTAGTACAGGGAAAGCTTCCCGCCATCGAGATAAAGTGGTATCAACTAAAAAGATTTGTCTGAAAAGCTGTGGTATGTTGTTTGAGTTTATGAATTCTTTTGCTTTCAGAATTTTGACAAGCCCTTATAAGATTCTATATTCTACTTGTATTCTAGAATATTAAACACGTAATTTTATAATATCATTAAGACTCTAAACCAAAACCAGAGACAACAGCCGAACCACAGTCATCTGCTGAACCCGAATCAACAGCTGAACCTGAAACAACTGCTGAACCCGAATCAACAGTTGAACCTGAATCAACTGCTGAGCCCGAGTCAACAGCTGAACCTGAGTCAACAGCTGAACCTGAGTCTTCTGCCGAACCTGAATCGACTGCCGAACCCGGGTCAACAGCTAAACCCGAGTCAACAGCTGAACCTGAATCGTCAGCCGAACCTGAGTCAACATCAGAACCTGAGTCCACTGCTGAACCAGAGGCAACTGTTGAACCAGAAGCAACAGCTGAACCAGAAAATACTGCTGAACCAGAGCCATCTGGAAACTGTGGAAGAGGAGTCTTTGCTGGCAGTAGTGACACAACTGGAAGTAAGTGCAGTTATTTAAGGAGGCTGAGGGGTCAACAAATTAACCAGCAGATATAACTTGTTTTTTTTAGATATGATATCTTAATCTGTCAACTATCACATGGCAAAGAAAAATTTCATTCATTTTAGTTTTAAAATTTGATCATTTTTGTATGTCTTTATATGGAGCTCTTCTTCTAAAGGAGATAAATATAGTCTGAAAATGGCCACAACCACCCAGCCCTCTTAACAATCAAAATCATGAAATTAAAGCTAAATAATAAATTTTGTAAAACTGTACAAGAAAATATCGGTACTGACAATTTGACATGAGTTGGGAAAAAAATGCATTATTTTGTATGAATTTACAGATGTACCTCATCCAATGGACTGCACTGATATGGTTATTGGTGCTGCCCGAGGTATGAGAAGTTGGATTGGGGACTATTACACACGAGGGAGGTCCACCCCACAGAGAGATGAATTTTACGGAGGTACAGAAAGCTTGACGGCTGCCAGTGGGTTTGAGCGTTCTGGGTATACCTACATTATTTTCCGGAGGAAACTTAGAGGTATCTATTGAATATAGTTCTTCAAATTTTCTGCTTCAAAGAAGTGAAAATAAGAGGAATATTTAGTCTGCTATAGAAAATAAGGCCATGAAATATTTATTAGGTAGTACTCCTGGTATAGTGATTAATAATCAGTTAATCACATTAACAGTGATTAATAACTACATTAACAATGTCAGTGGTAAGTGGTAAGTGCTATCAATCAGTCTAGTACTAGTACTTAGATCTTTGATCTGCCCGCATACCTCCTACTTCTGTGCAGTGACAATGTAGTTAAGCATGTCAATAAACAAAATGTGATAGGCCTAAAAGTGACTTTTATTTGTTACAAACATACTACTTTACGATACAATCGTATCTGTGCTTCATTTCAGCCAGTGAGAGGACTGATTATAACATAAGCGATAACTTTATGAGTGTGATCTGGGCTTTATTTCAGCCTATGAGAGGACTGATTATAACATAAGCGATAACTTTATGAGTGTGATCTGGGCACAAGGACAAGACAAGGGGAATTACATTCATATTCCTAAAACAGGGATAGATGTTGTTTCTACAGCATCAGACCCTAACTTCTACAAACAGGATGAACTAAGATACCATGGGCATGCTGATCACAGGGGAACAAGGACCATGAACTTTTTTGACGGTGAAGTTTTAGCTCATACAACAACCACTCGGTCTTGAATACTGGTAATTTTCACCATCTGCCCTACACTATATTAATTTGCAAGTTAAATTAAAATTTACAAATTTTGGTTGCAGGCAACAGAGAAAATACCCAGCCTCCTTCAGAGTGTAAAAATCAATGGGGAAGATGTTTAGGGAATAGTGACGTCAATTGCTTCTTGGTCAGGTGGACATATGACACTGACCGGATTACATTTACATTAAAAGCCTACCTAGAAAGGAACCAATGGGTTGGAATAGGGTTCAACGACAAGCAGGCTATGGTAAGCCATTCAGTATCTTTAAAAGACAAAGAATATGAATTTTTAAGTTAGTGTGTCCCTTGTGGATTTTTGTTTGCATTAGATGTATCTTTTTCATAGGGCGGAGCTGACGTAATTGTGGGATGGAGAAGAGAAAACGGTGATACCGTTATTCAGGACAGGTAAGACAAAAATGATCCAAAGCATTCATGATTCTGTTCCTGTAACTTTATAATGAAACATCTAACTTTCTATTTCCAGAAAAGCCAGTGGTTACTCTGAACCACCACTAGATACTCAACAAGATGTTACATTGATATCGAGCGCTAGAGAAGATTCCATCACGACCTTGAATTTTAGTAGACCTTTGGCGACAAATGATGCAAACGATTTCTCTCTGTCATACAACTGTGCCTATTTCATCTTTGCGAAAGGAGGAACCTACACCAGTAGCAATGGAATTACATACCATGACAACACCCCCATCATATCCAACAAAAAGATCTGTATTCCGGACAATACCCCGTGTACTGAGGGTTTGTGGATGTTTTAGACATATATTTATGATGTAGGATAGGTGTGAACTTTCACATGTAGATATTCTGTTTAACAGGAGGTGCATGACCATAAAGCTCATCTGATCCTGAGTCTCAGTTAATTAATAATTACAAATGAATTAGTTAATTGAGACTCAAGAAGCACAAATACTAGCAATTACTATAGACAAATGGATTACTGCTTCATCTGGGTAGTTTTTCTTATGGAGCCATTTTGGCTACTTTCACTTTATCTTAGCATATAAGTATTATCATAAAGGGAATGCAAAGATGTTCAAATATAGCACGTGGGTCTTTCAAAGGAAGTATGATAAAAATGGGAAAATAGGCCTTGGATTTTAATTTTTTTTTTCAAAACCACGTATAACTAACAGTTGACCAAATTAAATGTTTTAAAACCGCTTGGCATAAAAAACTGTTAGTTGATATTAGTGTAGAAGCTCAAACAGCGAAATGAACTTGAGAATATCTTTAGTAACAGAGACCAGTTCGACAACCACCACAGAAGCACCTGTTCAGCGGACGGAGGTTCGAGCTGAATTCAGAATAACCAACACGGCATGGAATGCTAGGCTGGCGGACATGACGAGTCCAGAGTACACAGCACTAGTGGGAAAACTACATACAGCTGTATGCTATAATATACTAAAATACGTATTTTATTAGAAAAATCATGCTGCTTATGTTTATGAGCATAATTTAATTTTCCCACAATTCTAGAAAGTAGAAACCCTTACATTACTCGTCATGTAAATAATAACACACTTCATTGTTTAAATGCTATGAGTACTAGTATCTTACTCTTCAATCCTCTAAGATAAGCAGACCAAACAGTAGAGCCACAGAATTATAATTAAGAGGGATGTTCTTTTGAAAACGAACCCTAATCCTTTAGATCTACTGTCAATTACTACATATAATTCATCGTCTTTCTTGGCATTCGAAGTCCAAAGATAGTTGAGAAAGAAGAGCGGGTCTGTTTTTGATACCGCATATAGATACCAAAACACGTATGGCTAAAATTTTTACGTTTGTGCATTATTCAATTACAACTTACAATTTCACATCAGTGAAACCCGACAATAGCAATTTCTTGTCATTAAATAAATGTAATTATTGAAACCCGTGTTCGTTGTGAAATGTTGCTTGTCAGGTGACTATCATTGAAGAACACTTGATCAATTGTGTTTGAGTTGGTATGAAGCGGGTCGTGGTTTTGTAAAGAAATACGGCACACATATATAGAGGAAATATAGAATAGATGTAAATATATGAATTACACTTACATGTAAATGACGTGTCTGTTTCAGCTGGTCACTCTGTTCAGCAATATAACAGGATTTTTGGACGTAAAGATTCTAAAATTCAGGTAAGAAATATCGTACTTTCAAATTTATGCAATATCATAAACCATAAATACAGTATAATAAATTAAATATCTGAAAACTGAGATGTTTCTCATGCATTATGTTACAGGCCCGGTAGTGTGATAGTGGAGTATGATATCATCATGGCGGGAGATCAGGTGACCGCATCACGTGGGGCGACTGATTTGACAGAGAGGCTGAAAGCCCAGAGTCAGCTGGGTGATTTCACACTGGATAAAGATAGCGTGAAATTGGGTAATCATGTTAAAGAATTTTATTCACGATATTTTTCTCTTTGATGACTGTGTAGTTTGCTTGGATCATGGAACTATTAAATTTGCAAATCATGTCGATTGCTTACTACCTGAATTTGTTTGCATAAATCGATAATTATAAGTATATATACTCTTGCTAAGCTTTGTACAGGCTATTTTCAAAGTAGATGTTCCTATCTTTTTTTTATTTATTAGCAAAATTGAGAAAACATTGCAAAACTAATCATTGTATAGCAATGTCCTTTCTTCAGCTGTTCTTGCTGAAAGAACCTTAAGTTTTACTTGAATACTCCTATTTAGTCCAACCAAAGCCTGTGGAAGAAGAAGAGAAGACACTTCCGGTTCCTTTAATCATCATCATCGCCATCTCCGCCGCCGGCGTTTTCTTGATACTTTGTCTTGGCACTTGTAACTGTATCAGAGTTCGTCACCAGAAACAGAAAGAAGTAGGTCAAGGTCATTCAAATATAACCTTAGTAACAATGGGGTTTGGGTTTAGCACTAGGACTCAAACATAGACTGTAAAGTTATTATGCATTGACATAGTACATTACACATCCTGGTTTCTTTGGAGGATCGATCGTGGTAGACTGAGAAGAAAAATTTGAAACCTTTATTCATAAAAATGTACTTCTGAAGGATGTGGAGTTTTTTTCTTCAATGTTACATCCAATGTGTTTCTATATTACAGAATGATTATACACAAATAATCCCCAAGAATCAAGGCAATGCACCATCGTTATCATATGACGAATGGTCACGACAACAACAGTTTGATAATCCTTCCTACACCAATGGATACGGTGAAGAAGGCGGTAAAACAAAGGAATTCAGTACAAACCCTGATCAACGAAAAGAAACTGGTTCTTTCATCAGACCTTATGTGGCATAGTCATCTACGCAGATCAAGGCAATGTCATTCACACTATGCTTACTTTGCTGAGAAGTATACTCCCAGATATGAAATAATCAAAGAGCGCTATGATTAAACTGCATAAGACATAGTGAATTTGTTTTCAATACGCATACATGTGCTTTTATAACTTATTAGTAACTGAATACTGTGTGTGCCATAGTAGTTATTTTTTGTTAGATTATTTGTTAGCTTTGGGGATTTTATGACAATATATCGGTATTCAACAGCATAATATATCAATATAACAGAGTATTTGTAATGTTCTTTCATCATACATATTCTAATGTCTCTTATGTATATGTGTATATGATATATATGTGTATATGATATTTATATTGAACTTTATTTTCTAAGATGTAATGGTCCTTGACATTATCTGTCATGACTTGCTGGACAAGTCACTATTTTAAAGAAATGAAAAGAGTGGCCTCCTCTTTTCTGTGAGTGTAACTCTTAATAGAGTTCTATTTCCTTGCATTTCATGTTTCTTATTATGTATTTTTCAATTTTATTTTGATATTAAATATATTCAACTTTAATCTGTTCTTTCGACAATTTTTGATATATATACATGATATAGTCATGTAAATATACTGTGTTATACTTATGTAAATTACTTGAAATTGATTTGTTATAAACATTTGTTAAACTGAAACAATGTTATCCTCTGAATGATGAAACCACGCCCTCCAGCTTGATAGAACTTAAGAACAGTCACCATTGCTTGACAACGGGTGATGTGACTGCGCGGAATTTATGCGCGCTCGCTTCACCTTTATTTGATTTGTGTAAAACATTCAGTATACATGGTATATACTGCATGAAGTTGGGGGTAACATTGAAATTTTTTTTCTCCCCTCATAAACCATTGTCAACCTTGGTTGCGCCTCGATTGGCAATGTTTTTCTTGGAGTGAAAATTAAATATTTTCACTGTTACCCTCAACTACATCCAGTATTTATATAAGTCTTACTTATGTTAAGTCAACAATATGTTTTGCAAATCACAAAGATGAGTTTCATGGGGGAAACGTTTAACTGCGGATTTGTTTAGTTTTTGTATTCCATCAAATTTTCTAAGTTACATATTCATAGAATTCATGGAAAAAACGTGAATAATTTTAATTTATGTTTTGATTTCTTTATCTTAAGGGAGCTTGGATTTTTTCTTTGCACCCAGTCTACGTTTTTGAATAACTTCCGATTTTGCTTAGTGCTCCCAATTCACCCCAGCCGCAGAAATGGCATTGGTTTACAAATTCTGTGGTGGTTATAATGACTACAAAAACATCCCACAATTGGGTTATATTTTGAATGACACGTTTCCTGCCAATTGTCATGTCATTCTTTTATACCATTTTGACTTCGAATTATTCCGTTTACCGTATACAGAGGGCTAACTCACAGAAGGCGTGACTGGTCGACAGGGAATATTTACTCCTCCTGGACACCTGAACACACCTCGGAGATTTCCAGAGATCTGTATTTCTGCTCTGTTCACCATTTGTGTTCGTTACCTGATTATGGGTTTGATCACTGTTCGCTATCTTCACCTCTTTCATTTAAGTTTCAACTCTTTGTCGAGTGTAGACATCTTTTTTTCAGTGCACGAAAATTATTTAATATGATTGACTCAAAGGGAAAACAACAATTAATAGCAAAAATTCACATTCCAATAAGTTGCTTAAGATACGGAAGATGATTTGAAAACGTCTTCAACATTATCTATACATATGCCTGGAGTATGTTTTTTTTCCCAACAGTTCAGTAGCTTTCTTCTGTTTGTGACGCGTTGTCGTATAATATTATAATTTACCGTATACTACAAACTTAAACGTGACATTAGTACACTTCACAGACACTCCGCCTATCTCAATGCAAGTTTTATTATACGAACTAAAGAGCACTAGAAACATCTACACTCCGTCTGTAATAGATTATACAATATACTACACAGCGCCCTAGAAACATCTACACTCCGTCTGTAATAGATTAAATACACTTAATGCATAACTCTAAAACGTCTACACGCCGTCAGTTATAGATTACACACTTACTGCACAGCCCTAGAAACGTCTATACCATGGCCGGGGGGGGGGGGGCACGGCCCCAATAATTTTGCCGATATATAGATTACTATAGAAAACAGAGCCACTAAATGCTTGTGCCCCCTCAATAAAAAGTTTAATGACCTTTTTTTTTCTTTTTTTTTTTGCTTGTCAAGCAATTTTTGGTTGATAGTGCCCCCTCAACTGAAAATGTATGGCTGTGCCCCCCCCCCCCCAAAATTAAAATTGCTTCCTACGGGCCTGTATACTCCGTCAGTAATAGATCGACAAGTACTCTTTCTGCACAACTGGAAAGTGCACGACTATAATAGATTACACTGCATGTATGCACTTAGTGCATATCCCTAGAAACGTTTAAAATCCGTCTGTTGTAGACTGCATACTTACTGCACAGTCCTAGAAACGTCTAAACCACAGGTACTTGTGGACAGGACCCCCCCCCCCCCCGATATATGACCCCGGCCTTGTTGGAATTTTTTTTTTTTTTTTTACAATTTATACTTATTACACTTCCTTATCATACAAACCATACAAAAAATTGGGTTTAAACTCAAAATAACCGTTCCATACAAAAAATACTTCACTATACATAATAAGAGAGATGTATAGTGAGGTATTTTTTGTATGGAACGGTTATTTTGAGTTTTAACCCAATTTTTTGTATGGTATACGTGATAAGGAAGTGTAATAAGTATAAATTGTTAAAAAAACAACAACAAAAAAAATTCCAACAAGCCCGGGGTCATATATCGGGGGGGGGTGTCCTGTCCACAAGTACCTGTGGTCTAAACTCCCTTTGTAATCCTAGAAACGTCTAGACGTGCACTCCGTCTGTAATAGATCATACACTCACTTGCCCGCGTGGCGCAGTGGTTAGAGCGTCTGCTCTAGAGTCGCGGAGTAAGGAGTTGATTCTTACGTCGCGGGTTCGAATCCCACTGTGGGACGTGGAGACCGGTCCTTCGGATGAGACCGTATAAACCGATGTCGCAGTAGGTGCTGGCACGAAAAAGATCCTTCACTGCTCAATGGCCGTAAGTGCCGAGTATAGGACAAAATTTGCAGCTCTCCACCGGCAAGTGGTGGCGTCTCCATATGAGTGAAAAATTCTCGAGAGGGACGTTAAACAAATACAAACAAACAAACGAACATACACTCAGTGTATAGCCCTAGAAATAACGTCTGCGGCTATTCACTCCTTCTGTATTAGATTGCTCTGTATGCACATACTGCACATGCAGTTCTAGAAACGTCTATTTTCCCTTTGTAATAGATTATACATTTATTGCATAGCCCTAGGAACGTCTACACTTCCTTTGTAATAGATTACACAATAATGCATAACCATAGAATCGTCTACACTCCGTTTGCCGTAGATTATACACTTACTCCACGGCACTTAGGCCTAGAAACGTCTACACTCCGTCTGTAATAGATTAACAGCTCTAGAAACGTGTAATAGATTCCATATTTATGATATGGAAGATGCATGGCTTTTCCATCAATGCTATCATTATTTGACTAATATCTTCTTTTTTAAACTTTCAAAATCTGACATTTCTTTGTCATCAATGAAACCCAGCGCATATAGCAGTCATTCTAAGATAAAAGGACAATTCGGGGTATATAACATAAAAATAGTTGCTTTGAATAGGTGACTGAACAACATAATTCTCTAAAGGACATATCAGTGGACTTGAAAAAAAAAAAAACAAGACGTGTTTGTGAAATAGGTCAAACTCCAAGGTCAAGGTTAAAGGGTCAAAGTTGTTGGTATCCAAAGGAAGGTCTTGTCACAAGACTTACGTATGTGAAGAATGAAAGCCCTACCACCAATTGCTCAAAGGTTATGGCTAAGATTAAAGTTTTAAAAAGTAGGTCAAACTCCAAGGTCAAGGTAAATGGGCTAAATTGTTGGTATCTTAAGGAAGGTCTTGTCACAAGTAATACACACGTGAAAAATGAAAGCCCTAGCACCAACTGTTCAAAAGTTATGGCCAAGGTTAAAGTTGTTCAAAAGTGGGTCAAACTCCTAGGTCAAGGTCAAAGTCGTTGTTATCCAAAGGAAGGTCTTGTCACAAGGATTACACATGTGAAGTAGGAAAGCCCTAGCACCAACGGTTCAAAAGTTATGGCCAAGGTTAAAGTTGGGTAAAATTTTGTAAAACTGGGTCAAACTCCAAGGTCGAGGTAAAAATTTATGGTACCCAAAGAAAGGTCTTTTCACAAGGAATACACATGTGAAATATGAAAGCTATGGCTTTAACCAATCTATAGTTATGAGCAATTTTAAAGTTTTTTAGGACAAACAGACGGACGGACAGGGCAAAAACTATATACCCCCGAATCTTCGATACGGGGGCATAGTCACCAGGAATACACCCGTGAATTATGAAAGGCCTAGCACCAACCGTTCAGAAGTTATGGCCAAGATTGAAGTTTTTCAAAAGTAGGTTAAACGCCAAGGTCAAGATCAAAGGGTCAAAATTGTTAGTATCCAAGGGAAGATCTTATCACAAGGAAAATAAACCAGTCCTGGGAAATGTAAAATCCATAGCACCAACAGTTCATAAGTTATAGTCAAGGTTAGAGTTTTTTTTTTCCAAACGTAGGTCAAACTCCAAGGTTAAGGTCACATGGTAAAAAATATCGGTACCGAAGGAAAGGACTTGTCACAAGGAATACCCGTGACATATGAAAGGCCTAGCACAAACGGTTCAGAAGTTATGGCCAAGGTTTAAGTTTGGTAAATTTTGCAAAAGTGGGTCAAACTCCAAGGTCAAGTTCAAGAAATATACTGTTACCCAAAGAAAGGTCTTAAATTGTCACAAAAAATACACATGTGAAATATGAAAGCCATAGCTCTAACTAATCAAATGTTATGGGCAAGGTTAAATTTTGCGGACAAACAGACAGTTAGACAACAGCTAGATGGACGGATGGACAGAGCAAAAACTATATGCCCCCGAATCTTCGATTACGGGGGCATAAAAATAACTGTTCACACAAATCTTGGATCGTTAACTTTTTACAACGATTTCGACCCATGGTCATAAGGCAATGTTATGAAAGTTAAAACTAAACAGAACTCATTATATTTTAAGACAAAACTGAATCTTACAATTTTTTCGTTTTCCGATGTTGAGTATAGAACAGTATACAATGATTTTTGAAGTCCGCATCGGCACGACTTCGGTTTTAAGATAAAATTTCGGGGAAATTATCGTTAATAAAAGTTGAAATTCTCGGCAATATATATATAATTAATGTTTGTTTTAAGATGTTAATCATATGTATGAATTAGTTTGCTCCCAAAATAATAAAACTTTTTATACCCCAAATGCAAAAACATATCTGAATTATCGTTACGGAAATTAAATTTTTAAGAGAGACAACTATTTTTATCCAATGCATTTGTTGTGTCGAAAAATTATATGACTCCAAATTACAATCGGTGATATTAGATTTCAT